GCTAACGGTAACAACTTGCGTGATGATATAGACGAGAGCGGGAAGGGTTATCCATACGAATGAACAAAATTATAATTATTTTTAATATATCAATTACTGCAGTGCCGAACGCCTGAGTATATATATTATGTTATATATTACAGTTGTTGTACAGTTGAGACGGCACGGTCGCTATGGACCGGCGTCCTAAATAAGAAGAAAACTCGTATGTCTTAAATTAAAATGTTGTTCTGTATTTTTATCTAAATAAATATGTACATATAATTCGGGGAATGCGGATGTCCGCATTCGCCGCGGGGACGGGGTCTGTATATCACACCACGTGACTCGCAGGAAGCGGCTACTGTGATACACAAGACCCGGGTTTCGACGCAACTTAAGCAAGTGGCCGGGGGAGGACTTGTGGGGCGGTGTATTTGACCAACGGCGATCCTGGTAGTCATTGGTTCTGGTGGATCGTCGGTGTCGGCGAGTACGACGGGAACGATAGTTGGATCCTGGTAGTTCGCCGGTACCGTAGTCGACGAGTTCGGTAAGTTCGCCGGTAACCGTAGTCGTTGGGACCGGTGAGTTCCCCGGTACATGTAATCGTCGGCTCGCTGTCGTCGGTCTGGTGGCTCGTCGGGTCTGGCAGCCTGGTCTTCGGTTCTTTACTAGTTGACTGGATAGTGGATAGTTGACTGAAGAACGATTGATTGAAGTCTGATGATGTGGTGTCGTTGTGCCCAGTATATAAAGCGCTTCCCGTACCGACTAGTAAACTACGTGTTGTCGCCGTGCGCGAATGTGTTTACGTTCGGTACGGGAAACCGTGTCGCTCGCACAGTTTTAGGGCTATATGTGTGGGGTTGGTCGGTTGGTGTCATTGAGTTAATGACGGTCTCCCCCACGTGTAGCCCCAGTTGTTTAGACGTGGGACAACTTGGGGCTCCGTATTGTAAGCACGAAGTTGTCCCCCTGGTTTGTGCGAGCGTCTCGGGCTATGATTGGTGGTCCTGAAAAGGACCGTTTTCATGTGACGGTGTACCGTTACACAGTATATGAAAAATTAATTAAAACTAATATGCGGGCGCCAGAGAGCCCATAGAAAAATTCTCAAGAGGGGGAGCAAAATTTTAATTATGTCCATGAGATAGGAAAGGGTTTACAATTTAACATTATACTATTATATTTTATATATCAAACTAGAAGATTATGAAATAATAATTACTTAACCAATTAACCATAAAAGTTATTTAGGTATTGAATTTTCATTTGATTAATAACATAAATTTAATGAAATATTAATTTACAAATAAAAATAGTAAATTTTTTTTTTAACATCAAATATATTTCTCGGGTGCAATGACCTCAAGTGCCACAATGTATATACAAAACTAAAATAATAATGGACACGAAATTTGAACACTAAGTTTCCAATATACAATTAATAATGGTTTTAAGTGGCTACTGACCACAAGTAGAAAAAATATAAATCGGTTTAACACTATAATCCGACAGCGATAGCAATGATCTGGTCCCTCGATGGAACGGTGACTCGTACAGAACGACGATAAAGTTCTTCATAGGCGAGTTAAGAGGAGACTTAAACTTATACAAAGCCGTTCACAAGTTGGACACAAAGTCGAAATTCACACCTCGTGATCACACGAGGTTTGATGCAACACGCAAGGACGAACGAACGCGACGGTGCATTCAGTTCGACCGTTGGTAAAGACAAAAAAATATATAAAAATTATTGGCTGACACAACGGCTTGCGACCTGATCTGCGGCAGACAAATCGGCACCAAACACTGGAGAGGGAGCTTGCTGGGACTTTATAATATCTGTCCGCCATACTTGTAGTATCTCGATCAAAGCTTTTTGGCGGCAAACTATACCGCGTTCGAACAACATTTATTAATATAAATTATAAATTATAATAAATAAAGTAATTAAAATATGCAGTTTAAAATGAAAATAATAATAATTAATATAAAATGTATAAAAAATTTAAAAACCAATATTTTTAACCATAATATCAATATTATAATAGTAATTTTGACAGTCCTAAGTCTGATAAAATGAGAAGGAAAGTTTTGGTTGAAAATTTGTAACATAACTACATTTTAGATTCTAGTATAAAAAATAACTGGGACTCAATTTATATATGCACCAAAAACACACGGAATACAATTTACAACAAAAAGATACATGGGGACGTAATTTTAAGTCACCAAAAGGCTAAATTACAATTGCGTAAGAAATTGTATGCAATGTTGTTAAATTCATTAATTTTACCATAAGCCTAATAAATATCTAGTAAAATATTTAGGTATACTTCTATAAAAATCAATAAAAAATAATAAAATATACCTAATAGGTATGAGAATAATTAAAAAATAGTAAAATAATTATTAAATACCTATGTAAATTGCGGACGTAAAAATAAAAATTATAATTTTGTATCCAGTATTTTGTTATAAGTACATTTAAATGTCTTCGTCATATTTTTATGTCTGCATAAATATTATAGTATTTAAAATTATGTACTAGAAAGTAAATAGGAAAATAATATAATGATGTCTGCGTTTTGCCACAATTTGTTCCTACTCGTTATGAATAGATAGTGCCTATAGAAGTGTTGTATAATTCGACAAATCATTGTTTTTTGGGAAAAAAATAATTATGCTATTAAATAATTTTGATATAGTGATAATCAATAATAATAAATATAATATAGATATACCTGACACACTTTGCATGACCCGTAGTTTAAAATATTGCATACTTTTTCCTAAATACTAACATTGATGAATAATTTCTATTATATACTACATAAGATAAAGTAGCAACTGATTCGATAGTAATTAGTAACGCCATCGCGAAGGGCTCTTCTCAGGACGTTTTTAGAGTCGGAGTTAATTAGTTACTAATTAAAAATATAAAACTCCTCTCACCATGGAGAAACTTTAACTAGGCACCTTCATTTGATCTACATAGATTTAGGTATAATACTTCATATTTTTTCAATAAAAATATATTATAATATTGGTAGTTATGAAACATAATTTTGTTCACTTAATCAAATAACTGCAATAATTTTATAATGTTGATATTTCCGAACATACATGTATGAAATTTATCGGTTATTTTTGAACTAAAAAAAAAAAAAATAAAAATACTTTAGGGATAAAATATTGTAGGAACAGTCAAGATAATATTTTATTTGAATAAAAAATAAATCTACAAACAATTTTAATTTAAAATGAGACAAAAATTATCATTTTATTGTAATAAACGTATCAGCTTGGAACAATATTTATATTTTAGTTACATATAACTTTTAATTATGACGTAACAATTACTTGTACAACGAATAAACTAACAAACTTACACAATTTATAAACTATATCTAGATTTGTTAAGAATTAGGTGTTTAGGTGTTACGATTACAAAAATATTAGTCATAAAAATAAAATAAACAATAAAATGCTAATGAATTAACATTTATGAATAATTTGTAGACTATAATTAGTAATAATTTCCAACTATTTATTTTTTGGTATTCGTGTATAAATAGAGAATATTTCATTAGAAAAAATAATAGTGATTCAATTACTCTTTTTCCATTGTTTATAAGTATATATATATAATATACAAGAGGTACTGATCAAAATCAATTAAATATCGATACATCATAATTTCAAGTATTATGGACTACTAATAAAAACAAATTTTGATCACAGTTATTCAATTTGTCCGTTTTTAATTTAATATTATAAAATATTTTATATTCTGAATAAAAATTCTAGAAACATAGTCAAAATGGTATCATACCTAAAACTGAATAAGTGTATTATTGAATCTTGTGATTAAATAAAACAAATTGAAGGTCTAATTTTTCTTTTTCTTTTTTTATTATTTATTATTTGATGTAAAAAAAAGTGATAACACATCTATCTAGGACATTCATTATCTTACCATAGCAATAGCTTATTGCCCACTTACATACCCTTGCCCTAACAAACTGCATTTATAATACATAACTATATCATATATTAATAATGCCGATGTTATTTGGTTGAAGGAATTTAAAAACAAATAAATGATCCAAAATCAATACAAAAAATAAATAAATGCAATAGTATTCTTAGTGGTTATTTTCAAATTTAAAGAGCAATATTTAATACATAATAAGTGAAATTCATCTAATACAATACAAGACTATTGATTCAGGTAATTATTTTTGTTAATATATATTATAAATTTAAACAGCAATACCGAATCTCAAATGTTAAAATGCCTAAAGCAAAAAATTAAGGACAAAATAAATATACATCTAAATAATACATGGATTTATATAATAAATTTAGTATCTATCAAAGTTAATTTAAATAATAATAAATACAGATATTACTTAAACAATAATAATTTATGATCTAAACTAGATTTATGTACACTTTACTGACTATCAGAGCGGGTATAAGGGACGGGGTAAATATTTGAAATGTAAACTATAATGATTGAACCTTTACAAATCACTCACTAAACGTAAAAAAAACATTTAACACACAAATACAACAATATAACAACACATAAAAATTAAAAGTAGTAAACGCATAATACGAGCAAAATGTAGTTATTATACGATTACACATTTAAGGTAAAAGGTACCATAGCTGAATAATTGTAAGAATAAGATTATAAATAGTAGCCAAAAAGAAGCTTTAATATGCTTTCAAATGGCACACAAAAAAAAAAAAAAAATAATGTATTACCTCACATAGATGTCAACATTTAGTATAAAAATTTAAAGGCACTTGTTACACATTAATTAATTAATGAGTATTTTTTCAAGGTTCAATATAATCACACTAAAAATAAAATTTTAAATGAACCAATTAAATTCGTAACGATTTCTCAATCAGTCAAATTCATCTTATTATCAGCACGGATAATTGTTGATAATTTTTTCTAAACTTGACGTTCACGGAGCGTAAAAAAAATAAATATTCAAAAACTTAAGGGCGGTTTTTAATTTATAAAATAATTTTGTCATAAGAACTAGTCGTTGCAGCGCGTTTCGTGACGGTCGGTCAAACCCCGACTTCAAATCTCATTTGTATAGATAAACAAAGACATAAAAACATAAAATAGAATCACAAACATCCAGAAACAGTACTTCAAGATTCTAGGTTTTGTCATGATCTCCTTGCGCTTACGACGGTGCGGCACTCACAAGGGTCTGGTGAAATTGGCAGGGAACATTTTCTTCTCTCCTGTGTTTTCTTTGATACCAATCAACCAGCCCTCTTCCTGTATATTCATAAAGAAAAAACAAAAACAGGTCGTCATTCACTTGTTTTTTATATGCTACTGAAATTCATTAGTAATAAAATTATTTATTTTTTTTTCAATATTAACTTAATTTAGTAGTAAAAAAATTATAAATAATTTTATCTCAAGACGTTAAAAATAAAAATAAAACAATTACTTTTATGTATATCAGAAATCAACATCATAAATAATATATAATTTCGATGAATTTCGTACTTCGGATATTTATTGCAATTATAAAGTGCATATGGGGTCAAATATTTAATGATATTATTTGAAGTTCAATGAGTAAAAAATATTATAAAATATAACTATTATATAAATTTAACCAAAATATAAAATAGTTTATATTTTAATTTATCATTATTTTTGTTTGCAATTATAATGAAATAGTTTATATTTGAAAAAATATAATTTTATTCACCGGAAGTTAAATTTAACAGTTTTCAATATTATTTAAAATATATTATGATAGACAACTAAGTTTAAATTATTTCAATAAATAATCATAAGCGTTATAAGAGTTTGAAAAGTAGTAGATATCTAATAACTTTTTTCCTACATTAAGTTATTTATCTTAAATAACTTATGATTTAACTAGGTTGAAAAATTTAAAAATTTCAAATATAACCCTTAAATTTGATTTTTTTTTTTAATGAATCTCTACAATTAAAAAACAAAAATCAACGAACTTGCCCAGCTTTGTAAAATAGTAATTTAATACATCTTAATAATTTAACGACATTGATAACCAAACAATATATTTGTATATGTTATGGTGTCAATGACCGTAGTTCAATCATAACATAGCAATATACTCGCCTGCGTTTCTGGATCGTCGTAAGGTACTACGCTGATGATCTCGCCCTTCTCAAACGATAGCTCGTCCGTGTCTTCAGCATCGTACTTGTAAGTTGCGACCACTCTGTAAAGCACTCCGGGTGGCAAGTTATCCGTAGTAGCTCCTACAAAAAACAGCAAACGATAACAATACAAAATCACACTATATCGTCGTCTTCAGGCGAAACACACAATTGGAATAAAAAAAACCGTACAAGGACGTGTACGCCACGTAGCTATTTTTCAAACCGATCAGTTCTGACATCGGACGGTTTTAATATAATTATCGATTAATCAAGCGGTTATAAAAAAAATTAATGAAAACGTCGCGAATTCAAATCAGGTAATATTATTACAGGTATTATTATTTAAAACCATTATAATGGTACCTGGTGGTATGTCGATCTCAATGTTTTTGTTGATGCCATTCTCGTGTCTGACCGGCGCAACACCGTTTACCGGTGATGAGCTGCTCTTGCCGTTAACCAAAGGCTGTTGTTGTTGTTGCTGTTGCAACGGTGGCGACGAAGGCACCGATTCGTCTTCTAACAGAGTTTTCGATGCCACCAATGGCACTTCATTGTTACTGCTGTCGGGTTGCGATGACGGTGATTTACTACTACTTACAAATGCCGTGTTTTGAGGGGACGCGGGTGACGAGGGCGGGGATTTCGCAACGTCTTCTTCTACATATCACACACACAGTTTAGTTTTCACACAAAAATCATTAGTTAAACAAAAACGGTACACTACGTAATGTATAATTATGGTCTATTACAATATTATAGACGCAAACTCTCTAAAAAAATACTAAAATGGTGCTTTAACACCAAATAAAATTTGCAAGGGACAATTAGGCTCATTAGAACGAGTTAAAAATCAAGATCTTAGAACGAATAAAGATAAAAAATACAATAACAATATTTAATAAAGAAGATTTTAATAAAATTTATTTATATTTTGACGTTGACTAAGAATAAATGAAAACGAATTAATTATGAAAATATTGTAATAGGTACCTTTAATATTATTATAGGATTCGTGAAGTAATAGCTCTAGTTTATTGAAGAGTAATTATGATTAAACTCTGATAAATAAAAATAATAAAAAAAGAAATAAAAAAGTTCTAGAATTTGCACCTATAAATATTATTGTTATAATTAATTCAATAACGCTATATCTTCAACATTATATTATAAATCAATTTTATGCGAAAGCTAAAAACAAGAAAAAAAAATATTAAGAAAATGTGTATAATTACCATTCATGGATATCGGAGACACGGGCGACTGTGATCTATACAAAACGTAATAAATAATTAGTTACGTGATATTATATTGGAATTAGTTTATTTTTTACATGTACATATATACAGTTATATGTTAAAATTCTAGATTAGTTAGACTTGATATAGTGGATACCGCATATTATTAAGTCGATCTATAGAGTACAACACACTATAGGTACCATAAAGTGTATTATGTATATAATATTTAATTATTTTAATATTCAAATGTGTATACTTACGCAGATTGAATGTTATTAGCGACGTTGTTTGAGGGCTTTTTGTTTCCTAAGAAATAGTTAAGCATTTTTGACTGGTGTTGATAATCCGTGGCCAATTTGTCAACGATTGATTCCATTTCAGAAAATACCTGATGAAACGTACGAACCAAAATTGTATATTATTACAAATCAATACAGTGTAATAAAATAAATTAAAATAATTTAAATTAATTATAATGCAATAATCACGTAATATTTCATATGAATATTGGATGTTATAAAGTATAGAACAAAAAATAAATACGTTTTAAAGTACAAAGCAGACCTACCTTAGATGATTCGCTGTGAAATAATTGTTCGGCAGCGAAGTATGGTTGCAGATTTGTGATCAAAAATAGCACCCTAGAGTTGTACAAAGCAGGCAATTCGTCGTGCAGCTCAGTGTTAATGAGGTCGAACTTTCGCTTAACTTCATCGAACTGTTCTTTAGCTTTCATCATTTTTGCTTCGTCTTTTTTTTTGCCAGCTCCTCCAACGCCGTTGTTGTTAGCCAATTGATTACTATGCCTTTGGCTGTCGTAATCAACTAGTTTTCGGTTTCGTTTGTCGATTTTTTTCTAATGAACCAAAAATACTCATGTATTGATAAAACATTCAAGTTATATGAGCAATCATATTAATTTAGTCCCACGTTTTCATAAATCGTTGAATAGTTAAATATCAAATTAATGATGATAGTTAGTATACTATATAATTCGTACTAATTCGATCTAAATAAATAATTTGGATAAATTGTTTTATACAAAACAAAATATTTTTAATTACCGCTATCTATAGATTTAGATCTTAATTGGACTGGAAAAATTTAATGAAATATGTTTTGAATTGTCTTATCTCTATAAAAAATTGGGACCAATAACTTTAAGTAGTATACTAGTGTGCAGCTATGGGTGGTAAAGGAAGTTAAAAATATAGAAGTAATGGTTATTTTGTATGAAAATCTTTTATTGCGTGGTGTGCCACTAGAACGAGTAATATTATCAGTGATTGCTTATCCGTGTTTCAGCGAACTGAGCTTGGTATGTGTTCAACGGTATGAGCACTTGATCGGCTAACTTGTGAGTATAATCGCTCCACAGCATGTCCAAATTGTTAGAATCGGTACACATGTGATCATGTCCAACCCACTGGCTTTCATACATTTCGTTTAACGTATCCATCAGACTTTTACTTGCTACTTGTACAGCTAAATCATAATTTAAAACACAAAATAATAAAATAAATATAGCAATCTATTATTGTCTATTGATCTGATATATATGCATAAAAACTAATAACAATGTTTGGGCGCAAGTATACAAAAATATTAAGGTCATCGATTGGTCGAACCTTCAATGAAGCCAAATAAACCACTACAAATTTATAAGTATTATTAATTTTTATAATTATTGTGTCAACATACCTCTGACACATCGAATATAGTTGTTGAATTCTTTTTGTAATTTATTTGCCGAATTTTGCTGTTTTGAAAAATTTTGTAAATGTTCGTTAAAAATCTCATCTTCAGTCCGATCAACTTTACCCAAGTTTTGAAGAAACTGTAATAACAAAACATAATAGATTAATATTAATACAGAGAACAATAATGTTAAGGATAAATTCAAATAATACATAAATTTTTACTACTAGTGATCACCAAAGCTGTGAGCTTAATACATTTGTGTATATTTTCAAAAAACAAATAAAATTCAACCAAAATAAATCATTACTATAATATATAAATATAAACTTTTCTAAAATCCGGACAATTATTTTTTTGTCAGTTTAGTGCTTATTAAAAATATATATATATATATATAAATTGCTTTTGAAGTTTGAAAGTTATCTTAAAAACAAAGAACAAAATATAACTAGAATAATCTAAATATTCTATGAATAATATAATTTAATAAAAATAAAATTAATAACAAATTTAATTTAACAAAGTTTTATTTAACATATTTTTACATTTTTAGAATTTTAAGTTTATATTTTCGCGTATTTTACTATTTTCGGGTTAATTAATCAGATAACAGACAGTAATAAAATGAACAACTTTATAACTAATTGGCAGATGTGAACAATTAATGTGATACATTAAACTTTTCAAAATATTTATTGTCTGATTTCTAAATGATAATTAGTTAATAAATTCAATATAAACATGTAGTTTTTATTTAAATAATATATATTAGAATATGTATACAATATAATAGTATTTATTAAAATTTAATGATATAAATTAAATTTTGAGTTCTTATTGAATGTTTAATTATTTTATTATACTGATAAACACTTAAGTGCTCAAAACTCAAATATATTAAATCAAAAAATAATGATATATTTTACGCCTTGATTGTAAGAAAACTAATAAAAGTATTCATTTACAGTAATATATATCACAACTATAAACTACTATGTGTTGTAGTGTATATTGTAGAGATATCATTTTTATTTTTTAATTGGATAACATATGTAGTACGATTATACGAAATATATAATTGGCTCTATGTTATCAATATGTTCAGTAAACTAACTATAAACTAATTACTAAGTTACAATAACGAAACAAATGATACTTTATTATCATACAGAATTATACAAATATAATTAAATCTATACTTTAATAAGTATTTTAAAAATCCAATAATATTTGTAAAGTTTTTAGTCTAACAAGATACATAAGAAATGTGAATTTTCAATAGTTAAATTAACAATCTATTCAATTCGTACACTTATTATATGCATATACAAGTCATAAAAGTCAAACAAATATATAAATTAATTTGACTACCAGTGATTTTAATATTGATTATACATAATAGCAACGTTTTAAACAACGATTAAGTAATAAAGTGTACATCATTAAAATATTATCTTTTTTTTATGCCTACTTTATAATTTAAAAGTATATACTCTAAGCGTTATGTAGGTATATTAAAAGAGTGTGTAGATATTATAAAAACCTTATATTTACATTGCATGGAGATCTTGCAGCAGACATGTTATTTGAATTTTATTTTTGGGATGTTTATAAGAAAGCCAATTCTAGTATTTCATCAGCTCAAGTACAAAATATAATACTTTACTTTTTTTAAATAATTAACGATTATTCTTTCTTTTTTTTTTTTAACACGAATGATTAATTAATATTTTAAGATTCTTTTATTTAAAATATAGTGGATTAAAATAAATAGTATTGCGCTTACATTATTCCCATACTATGTAAATCTACATTTAAACAGTAAACACATTACACATCCGGCTAGGCAATGTTAAGAAATATGAAACGCCCCTAGGATTAAATTGCATTATGATAATACATACAACGTTTATATTTAGGTGACGATAACTGATAAGTGATAAAACTATAATAATAGCATTGCAGTATAGTATTAGTTTAATTAAATTAATTGTAGCAGGTTAAAATAATATACACGCAACCACTACATACACACTGCAACGTTTTCAAACTTTCTAAACACACGCATTAATAATACCAGATATTATATTGAACACATAAACTCAGCTGCAGCATAATAAGCATAATAAATCAATAAGTTAATAAAAATCTATATGGTACACAAACAGAATAATATATTACAATAATTCTAATATATATAATCTAACTTCGTAAACACGAAAACAAAAACAAAAACTAATATTCAAAAATTAATAAAAATTAAGCTAATAGATTTGATTGAGTTGAGCGGTATAGCTGGGCTAGACAGTAAATATATACATTTGTTTTATCGTTTGAGACGGTAGTTGAAGCAGAAAAGATGAGATGCTTTCTCCCAAGGAAAAACTTTTTTGCGCCATGTTATATACCCCAAACCAGTATAAAACTAAAAAAAAGAATGTCGTGGGAATGTAATAGGTACACCCAAAAATTTAAATCATAATGAAGTTTTTGAATGTTATATTCTGTCAATCAAATACCATTTTTGCATTGAAGTTCTTGTTTTAAAATGGTTTAGAATAATTATTTTAATGTTTTCTGAAAGTATAACACTCTTAATGTCTAGTATTGAATATAAGTATAAACGATATTATCATAAACTATAACTATTACAACACATGTATATGTGATACTTATGTGTTATACAATACATATATACGTATAACTGTATAATACATTTGTATTTGGTAAGTTATTCATAATTTTATCAATACCGACATTGTAGGACTAATTGCACAGGGCTTAAACAGTATTATATAATACAAATCAAGTATGTATCTAATGAATATAAACATATTAATATTAGGTATCGTAAACGAAATAAAAAAGGCGCGACGAAACAAAAAAGCACTTGCGGTTTCCAAGAAATACGTGCGATTGTGGCCTGCACAGTTCGTGTTTGAAACAACTACCATGAAAATAATATAATAAAATAATAAACAATAAGTAATGATATACCTAATACAAATATTTTATACCCACTGAATTATTATTTAAGATTATACGTTTTATTTTGGAATATCATTACTAATTTTACCCAGAGCCGAACACACTTTGAGATAATTATGTTGTTAGTTTTAAAAATTGAAGCACTATAAATATCAATACGTCATATATTATTAACAAATGCTGATGATTAAAAAATGTGTATTTTTTTTTGTTTTATTAGAAGAATGTAAAAATACAAGATGATTCACATTAAACATATTCAACCCCAAAAATACACTATATCCTTTGACTTTGATATTTGAAACATTTTATGGTATTTAAGGAGTGTCTTATAATATTGATGATAAGTTTTTTAAAGAAAATCTTGAATCTTAATCAGTTGAATAGTTAATTTCAATATACCAAAATCAAAACTTATATTTGTAAATATTAGTAAGTTTTTTAAGTTATAATACACCTATAAAATAATATCATAAAATGTCTCATGTATAAAATTACCTAAAACTTATAAAGATAATAAAAATACAATTTATTAAATTTACATAATTTACACATTTATACAATTTATCGAAAATTCTAAAATATAGTTTAGAACGTTAAGACAGTCAATGTCATAAATTAATAATCTAAGTATTTATTGAAAAATATAGTATTCGAGTACTAACACGAATTCCACAAGTTAGAATGTAAACTAGTGCACAGTTAATTAAATATACAATGAGAATGAGCATCAACCATGCTTCGTAAATCACCTTGTATAATAAATAGAATCGTATGCATGACATATATCAGGTCGTCTAATATAATATATATAGGTACTTTCTTGTATTTTGTGTATACAGTACACAGTATAAACACAACTAGTTCTAGTATTATACACCTATATAATAATATGTAAAATAGCGTACCGACCAACTTTCACTTATAGCAAAATCTACGATGCTTTAAATATTAAGTTTTGTTCTTAAACGATAAATTATTATAATATTTATCCATCCGTTGTGTACGTGGCTCATACCTCCTCGTCCTACCCGTAATATATTGCGCAATTTTTTTTTTTTGGGCGCCTACGTTTATTTTTATTTTATTTTCGTTCAAACGTGGGTTTTTTACGTATATAGGCAACCACGCACGTGGGACTCTCAATTATTATTATACAAAGTAGAAGTGTCGGATCAACGTTATTTTATAACAAATTAAAAATATTTAGAAATGAATTTTCAGAAAAATATAAAATGACATTGTGTAATACCACACCACATCACCACACGCCATCGACCCTACTCCAGATTATAATAAAATAATACACGAAGCATGATCAATGGGGGGAACCGACTATACGCGACGTGTTCCAGTCCAACGGATCCTGGAGTAAAATAAAACACATGTCTCTCATAGAAATTAAAACCTTTTATAGACACGTTAAAACGAAACGCTGACATTATATTATATGTACATAATTATTGTAAATATTATGATTATGAGTTGTGAAGGCGTATTCATCGGCGTATTTAAATAACGCCGATAACGTTTTAATAATAATAATAATACTTAATATAATATCAAATGATATTATTATTGTACCACACAAAAGTGTAAAACTATCGTTTGCCTACATATAACAAAAATAAAAATAATTTCACAAAGTTTTAACGTACTCTTGCAATTAGGTAATGATTTTTAATGACACTTGTACATATTTAAACAATATACACTGGAAACTACTGTACTTGCCGTAGATATAAACACGATTCAAGGTATAATGTAACCTAGATGTAAAACAAGCATCAAAATCGTGTTAACATAAATCACATTTGAAGACGAAGCCAAATATTCAGTAATATAATAATGATATTCTAATACTATGTTACATTTGTAAGTAAAGAATAGAGACAAGTTTTAGAAGAAGAGCGTACATTTTTTTTAAACAAAGCTCATAGTTGAAAAATCAAACAAATTTTCATAATCACATTCCCATATTAATATTTTAAATATGTTTGTTTCTTTACCAAAAATAGTATAATACTTATTTTACAATATATAATCTAAAATAATAATACAATATAAAACATAATATAAGGAATAAAAATTAATTTATTGATAAATAATATTATTCAAAAAAATAATACTTCTATGATACAAAAAAAA